TAGAAACTTTACAATGTAGGTACATCACATTCAATTAATACCTACCTACGCATTCTTTGATCTTTATTACAGATCAAAGAAAAGACTGAAAGCCTGAAAAGCTGAAAAGTTTATTTGTAGTGAGTGTACGCTTTGGTGTAATTTAATACATGCTTAATGTTTCAGAAAATACCTCCCAAATGAAGATAATAAAAAATTCACGAGAAAGTATAAATCAGCAGAAGATACAGATAACCTGTTTTAACTCTTATGTGTTTGTGTATCAAATTAGAAAAAGAAAGCTATCAAAGAAAATAAAGTACTGACCTTGGGTACTAACACTAAAATGAATTATTGAATATTAACCAAAATGTGAGTGTCAATCTATAATATTTAAGAAATCTATCATTTATTGACATTGACTTGTAAGGTGAAATTATAAATGATGGAAAAAAAAAATTTAAATAACTTTATTGCAGTTTTTTGTCACAAGGTCTCCCGCAGTTAATGGAACGATGGCGTAGCATTCTTGACTTTCAAAAAGTACTTTGTAAAGGCCAGTATTGAATAAAAATATTTCATTCTTGACAATCCTATCCAAGCAAAGTATGTAAATTGCTATAAACTCCATGGCATGGCATGTATTACTATATCTATAAAGAAACTTTTTGTGGAATTAACTCTCGACCGGGGAATCGAACCCTGATATTTCGTTGGATAATCGAATATTCTTGTCATTATATTGAATCTACTTGCTTTTAACGTAGATTACCTTATCATTTAGAATGCCTTACATACTTTAATAGCAAATAATTTTAAATACGAATTTACATTTTTTTTAAGTGAAAATTTTATAAATATGATTTTTTTAAGCGCGTCACCAACAATTACTGATCTCTTTATGTTTAAATATAAGATTTTAGACGACGTACACAAAAATCACTAGCCAAATATTAGGCCCTTACATATGAAATTGGCGTTTTGTACGGAAGGAATATAAAGTCAATTCTTATTTTTTTTGTAAAATATATTCAAAAAATCAAAGTATGCACCGTTGTTATCTATGCACTTTTGCCATCTCATAGGTAGTTTATTTATCCCTTTACTAAAAAAAACCTTGGTGGCGAGAATCAATAAACTCTTTGTAGGCGGTTTGGACTGCCGCATCGGAGTTGAATTTTTTTCCTTGTAAGAAGTTGTCCAAATTCCGGAAAAAAATGGTAATCTGTTGGAGCCAGGTCCGGGGAATACGGTGGATGTCGTAGACATTCCAATTGTAGCTCATCTAAGTTAGTGGTTGTTTGTTGTGCAGTGTGTGGTCTTACGTTGTCGTGAGGCAGCAGTGGCCTAGAGCGATTGACCAATCTCGGTTGTTTAGTAGCTAGTTCTTCCTTCATGGTTTGACAATAGATATCTGCCGTAATCGTTTGGCCAGATTTTAGAAAGCTGTAGTGAACGACACTGGCGCTAGTCCACCAAAGACTCACAAGTAAATTTTTCTGAGTCAATTTTCGTTCAGGGCAGGATTTGACTGGGTCTCCAGGGTTCAGCCATTGCGACGGGCGCTTCCGATTATCGTACAGTATCCAATTTTCATTATTGTGTTGGTTGAGCAACGTAACACAGCAATCGACGCGTGTTTGCAAGTTCGATTCACTCAATTCATAAGGTGGGTACCTAATGAATCGTTCGATCAATTCGATCGTTCAAGTTATTTTACTTTCCGGATTTGCTTCAAGTTGATTTTTATCACTTTAATTGATAGAATCAGGCGTTACTTTGCGGAAATCCATTATAATGGGGTTGTTATAAACTAATTTGCTTAATTCGGCGTGAAGAAAGAAAATGATGTGTCCTGCCCAGTTTTAAGTGGACCTCCCACCCTCCCTCAATCGCGCACACTATACTCGTCGTCGTTAATCCTAGCACTACCACCCCCAGCACCACCACACTAGGCACGACACACCACTCTCGAAAATACGACACGTGTATCGCCTCTACACGAGGCATTCTCAGGTGAAGTAGACTCTGCGGAGGCTGGCCGCTAAGTGAGCGGCAAGCCGAAACTACTGCTATTTATACTACTTGCTGACGCAACCGCGCTCCAATTACGCAGCGAGCGATTACGTCATGCGATCAATCACCGCCTGACGTACGCCGATATTTGCTGTGAAATTAACAACAAACAACTGCGAAACGTCCGCCTACCCTACAACCACGCAACCAAACGCTAACCACCGCACCGTGTGGGTGATAAACGACCATTCCACTTTGGTCTCCAGCCGTCCACGGGGTTGGTTCTGAAGGTCAAAATTTCCAGATCGAAAATATTGAAACCAAAAACGTACCGTGCTGTATGGCGCTGGTGTCGCAAAAGAATTGCGACACCAGCGCCATACACATTATTAATCCTTCGAGCTGTTTCTGCAGCACTGGTGCTACGATAGAACTCGTACTCGTAAATATACCGATTTTCATGTTTTCCATTGTGACGCCAAAGAAAAAAATAATGAGGGAAAAACACCAATGAATTACTGTTTTCAAAACTCAAATATACCAGCTAAATGAATTTATAAATTTGAATTTGGAATTCTTAACCAAAGAGGAGATATTTCAGGTCAAAGTGGTCAGTACGACGAAACGCTAATTTCATATGTAAGGACCTAATATAAACAGTTTTGAGATTTTAAACGCCGTGTGGTATAAAAATAAACTATACTTTTTTTAAGAAATACGGTTTATTTTTACCACTTCGCTAGGAAACTTTGGATAAACAATTACTTAAGACTGGGAAAAGTAGGTTAAAATGCCCTCCAGACAAACGAAGGGCGATTATTACTAAAACTAATCGAATTAATCGATTGTTCAGTTTAATCGATAAAATTCGATAACAATCCATGTTAGTCGATTGTTATCGACGGCATGCGGCGGGCGACAATGATTGACACGGTTACCGTGTCAACTCTAACTACTCATTTGTAGCGCAGCGCACCCATTATGTGTACTACTAAATAAGTTATTACAAAAGATGGTGCGGCGGGCTTGCGGTGCGCTTGCGCTAAGTCTGTGCGCCACTACTTACGTTATCATTGCAGTTATTAGGTATGCGGTTGGCGCCAATAGATTATTCAATTTTCTGTTTTGTATTGTAATCAAACCATCTATTCAGGGAACAACCATTCTAGGCATGGCGTTAATGGTTAAGTTTATTTATTTGTTATTTTTTAACAGATAAAATCTTCAGTTAAAATATTACTTACTTTTGTATTGAATTTTATTTTTAAATTGTTGATGTTAATTTTATTGCTTTAATTTTACGCATGATATTTTAATTCAATAAACATTTCTTCATACTTTAATAGGACTCTCTAATATTATAAAGTTTTATTAAGCTAAGCGTATTTTTAAAAAAAAAAAGCGTATTTAATTCAATATTTACATTATATTATGGTTTTTAGGCATCGCGTCAAACCGGTCATTTATAATCCACGCATGATCTTTCTCTAAAAAAGTCAATAACCAACTAAAGCTAAAGTAAACAAATTAAAATATGTATTAAGTAACACTTAAAAAAAATCGACACATTCATCACTGTCTCGCACGCACCACCCTGCGCGGCCATCTGCAGTTCACCGCACACACAAGCACACGTCGTTGCATTACATAGCGGCGGATTGCAGTGTGCGATGTACGTACAATTAGTAGTTTGTCGATTACTATTCGAAAAATCATGGTGAGAAACTACTAAATCGTCAATCGAATGCGCAATAGCACAATTTTCGATTCAAATGATTGTTTTTTTTTTTGCAACAATCGCCCATCGCTGTTACAGACCGAATTTCAGTGAAGTGATTTGAAATACAGGATTAGATGTGTATGTTGCTGGCGCACCCTCTTTTCCCTTGCTCTTACATTTTTTTACATTATTTTATGCGTCACATGGCAAATGTACTAACTGTATGAGTCCATAATTAAAGTACCAAAACAAAATAACAGCTTATTATACTTTGTGGTAACAGCTGATCAGTCAGTGACAGTGACACTGACACACCGGTACCTGACACTGACATATGAATATGACATATCTATTATCTGTATAGTGATAAACTGAGGGAAGGGGAAGAATGTTTTGATTTTTTATTTAATATTTTAAAAGCCCACGCTTTAATTACTTAACATTTATTACATCAATCGGAAGTAAAAGTTGGCAAATAACATATGATTTTACTTCGTCGCATTGTGTATTTGCCCTTGCCCTTAGGTAAGATTTATTCGAAATTTGGTAATAAATATTAATCTTCTCGTGCAGTCTAAACAATAAAAAGAAATTTCCCATTAGGTGTCCGTATGAAAAGCACACATTAGGCCAACGTTTTAAACGACTGAGGTTAAATTTAATTAACGTATTATGAGCCAGTGTTTGAATCCCACCTGGTGGAAAGTGGTGATGAAGATCTAGATGGTAAATCGCACTGTTTTCTGTCGTCAAGATGACGCTCATAAACCTTACCTTCCTATCAGTTTTTAGTGCATCAAGCTATATGGAGGGCTCATTGTCACTTCACCTTACTAATATGTTCGGCTATGTTGGATCTCGGATATGTGTGAATGTTATACTGCAATGTGGTGGAGAACATGTCATCTCTTTAGAATTTAACCCTAGCTACCTATGGGATAAAATTAGTTAGTCTCTACCATTTTAAATCAAAGTGACTTTGACACCAAGAGACTTATCAACATTTTAAAATTGAGCAGCATTTGAGTATTTGGACTTAAGAAGAGTAAAATATTTCTACATTAATAGCTTCTGAAGTTGGGGCTTGTATAATTCTATACACTGTCTTAGCTTAATTAAAACTTTGTGTGTGTAATTCTACTGGACATGGGCCTCCGCCAATGTAGAGAGCTTTGTCAATTCAAGTCCAAATATCCAGGAGTAGGTCATGAAAATAAATCCTAATTATATCTGAATTCATTAGAAATTCGTTTTTTTTTCAGGTAGTTCAAATATAAGTCACAATATGACTTCGGCATCGGGAGTGGTTGCAAACTCCATAAGAAACAAGCTACAGACAGCTTTGGAAACAACACACTTGGATGTTATAAATGAATCATACATGCATAATGTGCCTAAAGGAGCAGAGACACATTTTAAAGTTGTCATTGTTTCTGATAAGTTTGATGGATTAGCCTTAATTAAGGTATGTGATTATTTCAAATTCAAAAAATAGCCTACTGGGTGCTGGGTTATTCCAGAGACTTTGTTAGAATCAAATACAGGTTTGTCCACTGACTAGAGTCACTGTGGCATCAAAACCAAGTTATAGTGGTGTCAACCAAGAGGCATGTGTGTCTTAGACTCCCACTCCTACTTTGTACTTGCACTATAACTTGATTCTATCACAATAGTTTAATAGACATCTTTCTTTATGTGGAAAATTTTATCTACTTTTATTTTTCGGTCAAAATAAGTTTTTGTGATAAACTTATTCAGACTCGTAAAATGTTAACTCTGCTTCCCATTACCAGCCTGTAAAAGTTCTGCATATTTGTCATCAATCTGTTTCCAAAGCATTGTTTGTCAATCAGCGGAAGCAGAGAAACTGACTGAAATAATATCAAAACTCACCAGTCTCAATCAGGATCAGTGTTATTATTAATTATACTATAATAATTTATCCCAATAAATTTAAAGCCAGAGAAACATTTCCTTATCATTAACAAAACATAATTTTTAGAATTTCACATCAATATAATAATACTTTCCTATTTCAGAGGCATCGTTTAGTTAATGAAATATTAAAAGAGGAATTGAAGAATGGAGTTCATGCTCTGTCTATAGTAGCGAAAACATCAAAACAATGGGAGGAAAGTGAAAAGACTGTAGAAAGTAGCCCCAATTGTAGGGGAGGTTTTGGAAAATAAGTTTGTTTAAAAATAGTTCAGAAACATTAAAGTTTATAAAATAAAATTACAGAAAAAGCAAGTTTTAGTGTATGTACAATTGTTTTGGCACTCTAAAAAAATTAGAAACAAATTTACTCCTAAAACTAAACTAATCAGAAATAATATCATTTTTCTTCTTTATCAGCCAGTAAAAGTCCATTACTGGACATGTCATGTAAATATACATTAATTATCATCATGCTTGGCAAAGCAAAGACAATTTATGATTGTAATACCAAATATATTTATCATTTACGCACGACACTATTTTTTATATTGATACTTTAAATTGTAAAACATTCAATATACTAAATTTGTTTTTATTGTATTATTGAGAGGACCAACAACAATAACAAAATAAAGGTACATTCTTAAAAAAGTGATGGTTGTATAAAGCCAGCCAGTTACAGCCTATATACGTCCCACTGGTGGGCGCAGGCCTCCCCTCATTTCTGAGAGGGTTTTAGGGTAAGAAAATGTCGGCCGCGCTGCCCTAATGCGTGTTGGCGAACTTCACGTCTTAGAAATATTTTTTATTTTCTTATTTCTCAGACACAGGTTTCCTCACAGTACACTTCACTTGTATAAAAATAAATGAATATAAACAATCATTGATCACCAAGGAACAAACCAAAGAAATGTAATCTTAATATTTATTTGTATAGAGAAAATGTTTGCTTAGTTTTGTATTGAAAACTACCCATCAATTTTCCTCTTTATCGGGGTTAAAATTAAAATAAAACTATTTTGTAATGTAAACATTTATTACCCTGACTAAATATCAGGTTCAAATTTCACATACAATATTAATACACTGGACATTCACCCAACTACACATATAATTTTACAATATATGTTGCAACATGAACTATGTTAAGACATTTTATTCTTTAACTCTTTTACATAATTTTAAAAAATGTTCCACATTTGGATATTTAAAAGTACCTACATTGAGATTACCTTATTTATTATAATTGACAAATGATATTAGTTTGGCTAACCATTTGCCATAACCAAACGGGACAATTTATGAACTTGTCTCCACAAATAACATCTTATTATATACCACACATATATATAATTATAATTTTTCTGTGCATGTGTTTATCAGTGAAGTCTAAACGACTGGACTAATATTGATTTTGTTGGACAAGTTTGAGTGGGTCCCTGGATGGTACGAGATTTACATTTGGACCAGTAAGTGGCACTGTTGTCGAGATCTAGAAATCACCAGTGCGAAGCCGGGGCGGATTGCTAGTTGTACATTTAACAACTACCTTTGCCGAATAACAACAATGTACTTCTAACTGAATTTGACAAAGGCGAAACTTTTAGATACTATCGAAACTATCGACTGCAGATATTGTGTTGCAAATAATTACGCGCAAACACAAAGGTAAAGTCCGCGAGACCTAAGCTGAGCTTTGCATTTGTGTGAGTGCACATAGATAGTGTTTAGTGTGCCGTTGGCCTATAGCGCGACGCGTCCTTTGTTTTATTCAAACCGGTTTATATTGGTTTTGGCAACCGGCCTGAGCGCGGTGCGTCCCTCGCGCGACGCAACTCCGCCGCGCACCTTCCACACTTCACCTCTTGTACTGGCACCAGCGTGACGTCTTTAATTCTTAATATTTGGTTTTTGTGTTCCATTTATTAGTGAAATGGCTGCCAACACAAATAAACGAATACGAAAACCTTTAAATAGACAAGTAAAAACATTTTTGTGTAATTTAAATAGTTATTATAAAGACATGAACGATAATGACATGTAAATGCTACTACATCAACCCAATTGGTAGCGACTTCGGGAATTCTACTATCCACTGTCGAAAAGGAAGCAAATTAAAATCTCAGAAAAAGACCAGATGCAGGAAAAATATCATTATCATTGACAATTTTGATAAAGCGGTTATCCGAAGAACTATTCACAATTTTCACATTACTGATAAAGAGGTTCAACCTATGAAGCGAATACATGAAAAGTTGAAGACAGAAATAAACTATCCAGGTTCAATTTGGTCATTGCGTAAAGAAGTATCTCTTTTCGGATTTAAATGGAAAAGGACAAAAAATAATAGAAAAGTTCTATTGGGAATACGTTATCTACGTATAAATTTTTTTATTAAAATTTCCGAATATCGCATTCAGGGCCGGTCAGTCGTTTATGCCGACGAAACAGACACGACTCACACTTCTTCGGAATCTTATTCAGATGACAGTACTTCTTGTTTGACTTCCGTCAGTCACACTTACATATGTACACATACTTTTTTTATCAGACTACTCTCACACACATGCAAAGCTCAGCTTATGCCTCGCGGACTGTACTTACTCGTCCTACTTAAATTTGACTCTTTGAAACTATGAGTGGTTCCAGATAAAACATCAATTAATCGTCTCTGTTCCAGTAAATATTGTTTAGATTTGTTTACTACTATAAAATAGAACAACTTTGAGAACTGATAATTTTTAAGAGATCCGATTTCGTCCCATGAACTTACCCTTATCGTACTGTACCCTTATATGACAAGACCAAAAGTACTGGCGACCGACCAGACCCCACATTATACACCAATAATTTGTTTTTTCACACAACGAAGACCCTTTACCCTACATCAATATGTGTTAGATTTGAACATCTGATATTAAATCCTATATATTTCAAAGTTATATAACAAATGCTACTGTTGGTTGGGATTCAAGGTAGATAACACTACTAAGTCATGTGGTTGTCAGATTTTCTCTTTGTGATTATAATTAATATAGCAGTAATTTATATAACTATTATATATTATTGTATGGATAAAAAAACATAATCCAGAATAAAAAAATCACACTATGTGCTTGAATGACAATGTTCATGTAATGTCATATCACTTGTTCAGTCACATTTTACATTTACACTTAATACGTTAAGGCTTTTGCAATAATCTGCTGTAATGCCTCGACATAAAACTCACAATCACTGTGAAAGTCACAAATCGCTCGCACACCGTCAAACGGTGTGCTTAGTATCAGAGGTTGAAGTTGTCCAACCGCAGCTTTCCCTCGTTTTCTGTTAAATACAACAGGTCTGCCATTGTTTGTTCACATATCGCTTCTTCTGCTTTCTCAGACATCTGTAAATTCAAAAGAGTATACTATGTAAAAGTATAAACATAGGCAAACGAGAAGAGAACAAAGACCTTTTATTTCTGAAAACGAATGAAATATCTTCGAAAAAGATTTTTTTTATTTCCAGATATTTATATTTTCGCACGAAATTTTCCTTTATCACCGAGAACGTTGGCAAATCAGCACTTAAAATTGCAAATAATGTGCTCTTTTCTCTCTAAAAAAAAAAGACGTAACCTCCACACTAGGATTTTTTTCTGCATCGTGAGGGCAGTTTACAAACATAAATTGCACTAGGACAAACATCCAGACCCGGAACAATTATTTGTAGGCAATTACTCGATCCGTGCGTTACTTGTTTCATTGGTGCCGGCTGGGATCGGGGTTGCACGCGTCCAACACGAATATTTTTCATTAATCCATTACAGCCTATTAAAAGTCCACTGCTGAACATAGCCCTTAAAGGGGTTATTTGACATAGTTGCCACACTGTCAGACGGGTTGACACTGCAGTTTTTTATTATTTTGATTTGTTATCTGGTAAATCGCTCTGCCCTTCTCATGTTTTATTACGCTCTGTAACCACTTCTGACACCTACAGGATGATAGGGGTAATAGATTGTGGTACGCTGTCACACTACACAGCTACATTGTCGCGTGCGAGCAGCATCATAGGTGCAAATTACGAAAATTATTTTCTTACTTGGTAGGCCATGTCCAGTCGACTGTTAATATTTTTATGCCACCATTTTAGTGCCCTATGACTGACGTGACACAAAAAATCAATAGAAAAGCCAAAAAAAGTATATCTTGCATCTTAGTTTAAGTTGAAGTGCGTTATAATTTTAGGTAAGTATATGAAAATGTTAAAAATTACGCATAACATGTATAATCTAGGGTGGAAACTTCTTATATCAAATCATTGAGTTATATGTACTACGTACTAAAGAAGCCATTCCAAACAAAAACTGTGTCCTACTCTATGTCTTCGCGCATGCGCGGGAGTAGTAGTCGCGCATGCGCGAAGACTAATTTGATACAAAATAAGATATTAATATAAAATAAATATAATAATTTAATATAAAACATCTTAATTTAATCTAAACAAACATATTATATTTCTAAATAAAATGTAATAATTATTATTTTATTGAATACACAAATCTTCAATTTACGCAATATTTAGTTTGTAGGGATTGCAGTACAGTTCAGTTGAACAGAGTCAATGTTAGTAATGGCTTCTCTAGTACGTAGTACATATAACTCAATGTATCAAATACAATCATAACATAGTAAGTAGAGGTAAAATAAAATATGTAATATAGTGTTTCTAGTAAATATTTTATTTTTAAAGGACTATTTTTGCTGCTATGAACATTTACCAATTGTCTCACGCTGAAGTCAGCCTTTAATAAAAGAACATAGTAGTTCCCCCACTATGTATTTTTTAGAATTATGGTATTCTAACTCCTAACAGTAAATAAGATACTAAAGAGTATCAACTCTAGTATAAACCCACCTTACACCAATTCATCCTTTAATAAAACGGCTCTGAACAAACACCACATGTTCATGTAGCGCAGTAGCTGACTGTTTTAGTGCAACGTTGCGCAGCTCCGGGTTTAAATCACACACGAAATAGAATTGTATAATTTTTATTCAATATAGAAAGCACCACCATTGAAAGCAAGCTCTGTCCTGAAGAACAAGCAAGATACCCAGCAAATTGTTTGCATGGCCTATAAATAATTATTCCGATCTCCTGGATGTTTGTCCAAGTTGAATATACATACATACATATAATCACGCCTCTTTCCCGTAGGGGTAGGCAGAGACCAGTTCTTTCCACTTGCTACGATCCTTACATACTTGTTTTGCTTCGTCCACTTTCATTATTCCCTTCATACATGCTCTACGGTTTAGGGTACTCTTGACCTATAATACCTTGAATATACATGAGAAAATCGTAGTTTGAAGAAGGTATTATTTAAAAAATTCTTACCGGTCTGTAGTTATATTCCGCCGATGGAGAAAACTTGAAATTCGGTCCGAAGTTGACACTGACGGTGATGTTTTTGTGCAAGGAAACAGTTGGATAGTAGCAGCCCTGGTAGATATCGGTAAACGCCTCGCCCTGACATTCGCCATTCTTGAAGAACAAGATCCTGCTGCCCACCAGGGGCTTCAGGTTGTTCAATGATTCTTGGATTTTGTCCTTGTCTTCGTAATACAGGTGGCTCTTGAATTTGACTAAAGGCTGTGGGACAAATGTTTTTAGAATCAATTTACTACGCAATCAAAATGAGAATACTAGAATACACAAACAGAACATTATATGAAAATAAGGACTAACTGCATAAGTAACAAGTGGTAAAATTAAAAACTTTGTACAACCGACTTCAATATAAATAAAATGAGAACATCATCAATGTAGTCGAAGTCTATTAAATATGCATTATTAAGGGTAACTCAAAAACTATTGGTCAGATCTTGATCAAATTTATATGGGACCACATGAGAAGCACGCCAAGAGATACGCACGCACGGCTCATTTTTTGCGTTAGATTATTTTGATGAAAATGACAATTTGCGCGATCATGTATGAGGAGGAGCTGGAGGAAATGTATGAGGATATATCGAGAGCCATGCATTCCTCCAAAACCCACTATACGGTGTAAATGGGAGACTTCAACGCAAAACTAGGCACAAGAGAAAACGGTGAGCTGAAGGCAGCGAAATTTGGACCAGGGCAACGGGACCCAAGGGGCCAGCAGCTGGCCGACATCATGAAGAAAGGGGGACTCTTTATTATTAACTCTTTCTTCCAAAAGCAGCCCCACAGGAAGTGGACTTGGTCGAGCCCCGAGAGTTCGATAAAAAGTGAGATTGATTTCATTATGACGGCCAGACGACAACTGTTCAGTGATGTCTCAATGATCGCGAGGGTGAAAACTGGTAGCGATCATCGAATGGTTTGAAATGACAAAGTTCAGTCAGTCAGACTCTCAGAGCTGTGCATCAATCTATAAGTATTAGGAATGCAACAGAAATTTTAATTATATTAAAATAATGTTACCAGTTGTTTTGTTTCTCTTATTTTTCAAGTGGTTATGACTTAACATTTGAAAATATATAAAAATTAACAGTATCTGCATTTTGAGGAGATATTTTTTCTTAAAAAGATGTCATCGTTTACTGTTATTAACTTCCTTCTGCGTAGCATTGAAAGGAAGTTAATGGTTTTAGCTGGCAGTCTGTTAGTCTGTATGCCGACACGATAACTTCCGTTCCACTGGACCGATTGACTTTAAATTTGGTATGTGGATACCTTGAGGTAGTAGCTCGGTCAAGTTTGAGTCCTGTAGGTCAAAGGGCACCACAGATATGGGATTCACGCAGAAGGAAGTTGTTTTTCTTGAATTTACATTCAACTCGTTGTTTTTAAATTTCAAAGTAATAATAATTTTTTTTGCATGTCTTACTACACGCACACAAGCTAGTTTATAAGTTAAGACGCCGAAAGTTCATTTCTATTCTCATTTTATTTGGTACGAATGTGATTCTTTTATATTTTTACCTCTTAATATATAAATTAACTAGTGGGATGCGGGAAGTAAACACTGTGTGAGAACCTCCGAAGGAGGCGGTGTTATAGCCGAAATAAGAATTTTAATTGTTTTGGTTTTTGGCCATTTTGACCCCCTAGGAGTGTAATATGAACTTTTTGCCCGCATTCAACCATGACCCCCAGGAAATCCTCTACATGATAGGTTAAATTGACTAGGCCTAAAGTTCGAGTCACCTTCCAGCTCATTTCTAGTCTTTACTTCCAATTAAGTACTTACTCTATCCTTGTACGTGTTCGGAGTGTACTTGGTAGAGGGACTATCTGGCAACACTATAAGAAACCCGAGGGTGTCGCCCTCACCGTAGCCATTGCTGTAGTGCTTCCCGCGAGATTCATGAAACCTGTAATATTTAATATTAATTAAACAAGTAATTTTATTTGTGTAAGAGGGAAAAGTCGTGTCATTATAGAATTGTAATTACAGGCAAGTGGTCCATGTAATGTTAGTTTATTTTTTAAGTTTTATTGGGGTTTACTCCTTAAGAATCGATGTTTATATACAGCCCGCGGTACCCCAATAAGATGCGACGCGAAATCGAGTGCTAACATAAAGTGAAGTCGTTATGTTGCCTCCCCGCGCATCACATTCGCATTGAATGCGTGTAAAGTAATAGCGCCATCTATAGTGTTACGTCATAATTCTATAGTGTTACGTAAAGTATATGCTATATAACAAATTTCATACGAATGTCTTTAAGGAGTAAACTCCAGTACAAAACACATATCAGCACCAAAAGTTCAACTGCCACAATATGAGGGCAAAAGGCCTGAAGTTAAGCTACGGTAAAGAAAAAACGAAGTCATTTCATTACTAATTAGTATTTATTGTCTTAATAGTAATTATTGTTTTGTTTCCAAACTTAGACAGGTCTATAACATGATTCGAAAAAAAATGAAATTATTTATCTCTATATTGTTGGGAATGAGGGTAAAAAATAAAATGAAATACGAACAAATGAAGATATAACGGTAATTTCCCACTTGTTCTAGCAGTATAGAGTATCGCGCAGGCGACTGGGAAGCATCAGTCGGTAATTCTACGAGTCTCACTGTCGTTACTATGCCCGTTGGGGTATTCTACTAGTATAAGCAAGGAGGATCGTGTTGCTGAGAGGCTGCTCTGTATTATATTGAGATGGGTAGTGATGCTGTTAGTTTGCATACTTTGGTGTTATCACGTAATTGGGTCCTGATTGTAAGCAGGGCTTGTTACGGAGTAGTGTTCTTTTATATAAATAGTGGAATAGTTTCTTACAATATCTATAATGGTGACATTTATATATGCTTGGAAATTCTATCAATATCGTACCGCTACCTGTCCTCGGTATCGATACTATTAGACATCTAATGCAGATACTTCTAAGCCTACCTGGTGCCCTTGCGGCTGCGCCACGAGTAGCCGAACTTGTCGTAGCCGAGCGGCGCCTGCAGGTTGGCGTACCTGCGGCCCCAGCCCAGCCGGGCGGCCGCGCCTTCCGGCATTTCTTCCACACATGCCTCCCAGTACCACACGCCGCGAGAAACACCTGCGTGACGTTTATCATTCTTTATTTTCTATAACACAACATCAACACTCACGGCCTAGGGGTAGGCAGAGACTGCGAAGTTCTATTTGGCACGATCCTGACACATAGAGGTCTGAGATGGAATACCTCGTTTCCACAAAAGGGTCTCACAGAATACCAGCGTAAAATAACATTAAGCGGCTATACCATTCCGTGATGATACCCTTTTTTCCCTACCATGGTGGAGGCGACCCGTGCTACAATCATAATACAGCTGCAGTATGGCTCCACTTCTATATATCTACGGATACATGCACATCGCCCAAGGGTATGCTTAATTAGGCCCATCTTCAATATATCGCCAATTTTATCGACATACTTCCGTCTAGGGCAGGGGTAGCGAACCTTTATATATCAACGTGCCATTTTTCTAAAGAAATGTTTAATCAGGCAATAGATGTGCCGTAAAATAATTTTGACTTTGTGATTACCGCCGCCCCGCGCACCGCGCTTGAACACTCAGTAGCGTAGGATTACTGGCGTGCGTTCGTAATACAATATGAAGTATTGTATTATGAACGCACGCGAACTTTGTAATCGGTGGCGTGCCCAAAATATTGTGTCGCGTGCCATTAGTTCGCCACCCTAGATCTAGGGCGTTCCTTGCCGACTCTCCCACTCACTTCTGAAGTCTTCATAAATATGCTTTGTCACTGTATCCTCATTCATTCTTCTACGTGTCCAAACCACCGAAGAATCACTCCCTAATTCTGCTAACAACATCGTCTTGAAAAACATTGAGCATTATTATTTATTTATTTATTTATTTCATAATTATAACATCATTACAGTTATATTAACCAATGCGATGCTATAACTAACCTAAATATAAGAAAACTAATTACTAATAAATAATGACTATAAAATAATGAATAATAATATTAACATGATTATAAAATAAAATACTAATTAAAAAAAATTACAATTTTCAACGCATTTGTATGCTGCAATTGTGAACTTCGTCTGACTACATGTAAATATGTCAATATCCTGTGAGATGATATTAATGTAGTGTATGGCACGTGTCAATGGTGCATTCTGAAGCAACTTCGTCCTAGCAGTGGACACGAAGAGTAACGGGGCGCGGCGACGAGAACACACGTAATTATCAGGTACACGTAGCTTTAGCGCAGCGAGCACTTCTGGTTGATGTATCCATCCACGTAATACGTTCCACACATATTTAATAAGCGCGATGTCTCTCCTCACACTCAGGCGACTGTAACCGACCATACCCAGTACAAATAGACTCGGATACATGAGTGGAAAACTAGGATAGACTCCGTACTGTTTGAAATATAAAAATCGTGTAAATTTATTTTGAAGTTTTTCGATCATGACACTATATTTGCTTTCATGTGGATTCCAAATAATGGCATTCGTTTCAAGTTGACTTCTTACGAGAGCATTATATAAAATTCTAATAGTAAGTACATTACGGAAATCCCTGCACTGCCTTAAGATAAAGCCGAGATTCCTAAAAGCTTTTTTACAAATATTTAAAATGTGATTACGAAAATTAAGTTCCGGGACCATTTCGACGCCTAAGTCTCTAATGTGTGTAACTCGAGGGATTACGAGGCCGTTCATTTGGTAAGCATAATTATGAGGGGCTTTTGCACGACCATAACTCATGACACAACATTTATTCACATTTAAGCTCAATTTGTTTTCTATACCCCACCGTGCCACTCTGTCAATGTCCCTTTGCAAACTTTGACAGTCAGAAGTATTGCTTACTTTCAAATAAATTTTAAGATCGTCGGCAAATAGCAAACACTGTGCCTCCTCAACGACCGTAGGAAGATCATTAACCATTAACATAATTATGTACTACGTACTAGAGACAACACTGCATTGAGTTACGCTATCCCTATATATATCTAACTGCGGTGATGTTGGCGCATTTTACTCAGTCGCTCGCTAGGCGCTAGTGAATTAACACATGCTGTATTGATTATATAAAAAAATTCATGATAAAATATGCCATGGTAAGTTTTAGACATTGCACAAATAATTCTAGAAATGTTAGCAAATACCAAGGAATAATTTTTCATTGTTGAGTAAAATACTTACTAAAAAAGTATTATAGATTAATAATCAAACAAATTATTCAAAAGACGCCATCTGGGGTCATGAAATATAGATTATGAAATTAATTTGTTCAGATGCGAAAAAGAAAAAATAAAAGATGAAAACAGGGAAAAATGGAATGGGACCTTGAGCTTCCTCATCCGAACAGCAGTGAAGGACCACGTCTCAGTACCATAGATCATCACTGGCAACACGCACTGGTTGTATAGTCTCGTTTTCAAGTTTTGAGGTATACCTGACGAGAAGATGTGCCGTAATTTCCCGAACGCTGCCCAACCGAGTAGAATCCGTCGATTGACCTCTCGGTTGAAGTTGGATTTACCTAGTCGGACTATTTGTCCCAGGTAAACATACTCGTCAACAGCTTAGTGCTCCCAACAACTACCGGCATAGGTGTGACATGGACATTAAACATGATCTTTGTTTTGTCCATGTTCATCTTAAGGCTTTAACTAGCCTGAATGACCTTGACGAAACGACGATCGCAGAGATTTTAGCCGATGTCAACACCGTCTAGCAACTACGTTCTGTATTACTTATAAAAGTGCAAAGATTAATAGACTGCAGAAATGACAATTATATAAGTGACATACTGCCTGTTATGCTTGCGCATCACTGAGAATTATGTCGCGGTTACGCATCTTCAATTACATTGCACGGTGTGGTGCTGTAGATTTGTCGGGTAGGCATCACGAGCTATCAAGTGTTCAAGTTTCAAGTACGTAAGAATTTTAATTATATATGTTAAATCGTATTTATTTGTGTCGTATTAAAAATATGTCGTCAAAGCGTTCGCTGTAAATTTTCCCGGGTTTGATCCCCGACAGCACGAATGAAATTTGTAATTGCAATTTTCGTCAACACGCATTGGCGAAGCACGGCGGGCATTTCCTTGCCCTAAAACCCTCTCAGAAATAAAAAAAGAGTCCTGTGCCCAGTAGAGGGACTTGTATAGCCTATTAATTTACTTTGTAGCAATATTTATATTCGTTTCAGATATAGAAGGGTACCTTATGCTGACAAAAATATCATGTGGAGGCCACGAAAACGTAAAACATCTTTGTATCTAGATAAAACGTTCGAAAGATTGTCAGTCACGTCATACGCCACATTTTCTATAGAGCGTAGAACATTACAGATAGGGCAAAATAATAAATAATCCAATATATTGTGGGAACTATTTATTAATAATATATAATTTATAGGTATTTATAATAAAAATAATGAACAAGCTGCAAGGTTCAACTAATAATGTTTTTTGTAAACACAATCGTAAAATTCCTGTTTTAATTTTTACCAATGGTTAATTGATGAAACGTAGTCAAGATCACTTCATATAAAATATATTTAATTAAAATTGACACGTGACCTATTTGGCCTTCTACTTGCAACTCGGCGGAAATTTGAAAAGAAGATTTTGTCTTTTTACACAAGTATTGTTTACAACTGGCGTGGTTTCGAAAAGCGTGATTAACTGACACTTAATCACGCTTTTACGCGGTATATAATCAATTAAATACTGAACTTTATTGAAATTTATTTTTTTGTTATTTTTGTTATATCTTCTTAAAAACTGACGCCATCTCACTATTTTATTATTTGTTTTTTTTTTGTACGCATAAGGATAAGTTAGACTAAGTTAGATTAACTTGAATAAGTTTATATTTTTTTTAATTTTTATTAAATTTTTAATTTTAATCACAAAATTTCCGCAATAAATTATTACCTTTTCTACAGTGATTCTCTCCTCTTAGTTTCGGCGTGACTGTAGGATGTTATAGTGAGTCACCGTCAGGTACTAAGCGGCCATAAATCATTATATGTATGTATAGACATACATATATACATTTTTTGATTTTAATATTTATGTTTTTTGAATTTTGATTGATTTTTTGAAACCTGGTAAAATTATTTTTTTCCATACCAATTGATGGGCCTGAGTATAATGCCAGTTATGCTCTTTGGCTGAAGTTATTTTTTATTTTATGCCCAATTGCAGACAAAACAATATTGATTGCGCATTTCTAAAACAAAATTTTACCTCTTCTCCTTCTAATAATAGCTTCTTAGTTATTATTATCTATAAGACCATTTGCGAAAACAGTTTTTGTTAACAGTTATGAGTGTAACATTTTATCAGCTGCTTTGTTTATAGTGCCTTGAGCAACACTTTGCCGGTTTCTGTACAGAAAATGATGCTGGCTTTGCAAATACGGATGGCCGCTACTATTGAATATAATTTCCGCTATGTTACACTTATTTACATAGAAAATTTAATTATCATTTGCATAAAATTCTAAATAGCACTTTTTACACAAGAAAGTAAACTTTTAGATCAGTCCATTTTGTTTTTCACTAATTAAGTAAAAAGTAAAACAAACCAATAGGGCCGGGAATTAAAATTTCTTGCAACTTTTTATAGAAAAGCATGACCTTATCATAATATAAAAGTCAATCATTTAGCCATGTGATAAAACTTTTAAGTGTGCCAGTCAAACATTAATGATGATATTCGGGTCATTATACTGGAAACAGTCTTTTAAATATTTTGTAGTACAATTGATAATCTTCAGTATGATTGACCGTGTATATGACTTTTTTAAGTCTATGTTATTTTTGATGAAAATTATTATTGCAGATAAAAGCCCTTTCACATTTATTTTAGTCTCTAATTAAATTAATCAAAATGAAAATAATAACATTGGCTCTTTATAACTGATCTTTAAATGTAAAACACTGACTTGAAATTATATAATTATTGGCATTTTTTAATTCATTGAACTTTTTTAAGAATTTGTTGAAACTCTACTGGTAAAAAAATCAAATATATATATATATTATAGTTCTTGATGAAAATAATGTATGCG